ACGGATTCACTAAAATGTTCACATTCCCTTTAAGTGTAACAACAGAGAACCCGACTGCTGTAAGATGACAGGAGCATCAAAATGGCGCTGTAGTCACCTTTGATTTCTGAGCTGCCTTTGTTCTTTCCTTAAAGTCACACAATTGTAGAATTTGAAGAATCCAGTTCAGCCCCTTCATTTTACCGTTGAGGACCCTGAGACCCAGAGAGGGGAGGTGGTGAGCTCCAGGCTGTGCAGCTAATGTATTTGTTCATTCATTCCCACATGTTTGTACATTTAGAGACAGAGAAAGGAATTCCAAGTAGAGAGACCAGCCATATGGAAAGGTAAAAAGTTGGGAACCAGAATGATGCCTTGGGGAACAAGTGGTGCCAATCACTGTCTGGTCACCTCTCCCCTCACCCCCACTTCTAAGGGAACCTGCCCCATGGCAGTATAAGCTGGCAGGTAAGAGCACAGAGAGTCTGGAGACAGATTGTCTGAGGTTGAATCCTGACTGTGCCTTGTAATAGCTGTAAGATCACAGGCAGGTCACTTTCTTCTCTCTAATTTATTCTCCCCAACAGTAAAATGATGGAGGTAATAATAGAACTTACTTCTTATGGTTGTTTTGAAAGGATATTAATGCATATAAAGTTTTTACAGACAACATCTAGCACTTAACAGTTATATAAATATTACTTATTATCATTAATATTAATAGAACATAATCTTACCCATATGAATTAGGTCTCCTGGCCATAGTTGATCACATAAGGGGCAGTGGGCAGCTGACCTGGGTGGAGCATTTGTCAAGCAGCCAATGTCCTATAACTTATGTTGTCTGCATTTGAAGGGATAAATTGGGCCATCAAAGTAGGGCCATTAAGTAAGTGAGAAATGGGCAACCAAAGATTTGGGCTAGTTAACCAAGAGTCTGAGAGGAGAGACGATCGTGAAGGCTCAGGGGGAGGGCAGGCATTATGGTCCCAAGTGAAAAATGAAGTTATGAAGTTTTGAGGAAGCCAGTTGGTTGGAGAGAAGAATGGGGCATACATACACACACATGCACGTACAGACACACATGCACACACAGAAACTCAGTTCCTGAAAACTTTATATGTCTAGTCCAATTCCATGGGCAAACAATTTTCACCAAACTCTCTTTTCTTAGAGGTAACTGGAGTGAGTTTCAGGTCCTTGCAATCAGAATAAACTACCAAACACTTATAGACAGTTCTGTGAAGCAGATATACGACACTGGGATATAGACAGTGCCAATTGCGAAAGGCCAGTCGTGTCAAAGTGAGTTTAAACCATCTCTTGAAAGCCACTGGAGGTTCCTGAAGATTGACATAGGTGAGTCATGTCTGATCAAATTTGTCATCAGCTCTGTAAGATCGTCTATGCAGCAAGGACAAAGATAAATTTGAGGGAGCAGAAGAACAGAGGACGGAGGCTAGTCAAGAGGCTGGGGTATAATGCAGGCCAGAACTCATCAGGATCTCAGCTAAGGGAATAGTGGTAGAAATAGAAAGAAAAATATAGACAAGGAAGATATTAAAAACTTGGTGACTTGTTGTGGGGCACAAGGCAGCTGCTGGAGTCCAGGCAAAATTTCTGACTTGAGTGTTGAGATAAATCAAATCAGAAACATAGTTTTGGGAGAAGAAACTGAGAGGCTCTCCTTTGTATGTGCTGAGTTTGAGGCATCTGTGGGAAATCCAAGTGAAGATGTTTCATTGCATTTGGATATGTGATTTTGGAGCTCAGCAAAAAATTTGGGATGATAGATTGAGGAGTGAATAGGATAACAATAGTAGTTGAGACTAGGAGTTTGATCTTTCAAGGTAAGTATAGATGATAAGAAGAGACGATCAAGGTTATAGTCTGGGGACCACCAGTATGTGAGGGGTGAGCCAGCAGAAGGGCCTCTGCAAGAGTCCAAGAAGGAAGGGATGGAGAGATGGAAGAGATTCAGGAGCAAGTGGGAGAGTGGGCCTGAGGAAGCAAGAGAGGAAGACATTTCAAGGTGAAGAGAATGATCAGTAACGTCAAGTGCAGAAGAAAGTTCATATTAGCAAAGGGCACAAAACCATCCATTGAATGTAGCAGCCTGGAAGTTATTTGAGACCTAAAGGAGTGAGAACAAAATAAAGATGACAATGGATTGAGATGTAAACGGGAGGGAAAATAAGGGAAGAAAGTAGGTAGTCTCCAACTGTAAAAGGAAGAAAGGTGAAGAGAATGCGGGATCAAATAAGGATTACTTGTTTAGTGCAGAATAGACGACACGTTGATGAACTGAGCCAGAAAAGAGAAGTTAGTGATACAGGAAGAAGGATGCTGATGGAGTAGGGTGCCTGCTGAGGAGGTAGAGAACACAAGATCTAGGGCACAGGTGGAAGGATAAGCCTTGCACAGCATGAGGGACAATGCTTCCCTGGAAACAAGAGGGAAGGAGGAAAGGATGGAGGCCAGTAAAGATAAGTTTGTAGTTGAAGATTCAGCAAGTTGAAAGAGCTTTGTGTTTGAGAGAGTTGTTTCTCTCCAGAAAGTAGGAAGCAAGAACGTTTGCTGAGAACAGGGGAGAAGCTATGGTGCAAGGAGTTTGAAGAGAAAAGGGAATGTTAAAAAAAAAAAAAAAAAAAAAAAAAAAAAGCAAACAACTCTGCAAGGACCAAGAGGGGGCTGAACAGGAACTCATAGAATTGTAGGGCCATTTAAGAGCCCAGCTGAGCCTGAAGACCACTGGTGTCTGGTGGCACCAATTCACGTGGTAGTTCGATTTCTCCAGCAGTAGGCCACATCCCATATGTAGGAGGAGAGAAACCAAAAGACTGGAGGATGCAGGACAGGTTTGATGGAAAACCAAGAAGACAAGGGAACCCAGAGAGATGGTAAAAGAAAGATGGTGTGATCTAGGCTTCAAAAAGACAGACATGAGTCAAGAAGGGTGTCAGCTTGAGAGGAAAGAGAGTGGGGTTTGGGTTGGAAGCTTTGGGCTGGGTGGTTAAAAAGTGGGAATCATAAGAAAAGAACAGTAACAAACAGGACAGGAGTTTGTTGTCAGTGTGTGGGATACCAGAGTTTAAGATTTCAGAAATAAAGCAGTTAATTGTTGTCCCAACCAGGACCAAAACCCAGGTTCGCTAATTCAGTCTTGGATTTTCTTTTCCTGGAATGCCTCTGGCTTCTCTGAAAAGTCCCTGAGCCATAACTAGAAGGCCAAACTTGTTACAGCCTGGCACGAAGCTTTGCCGGGGTAATTTATCCTCTTTTGTCACTGGAGTTCTAACTGAGGCTGGAAAAGATTGAGAAAGTTTAATCATACTGTTCTTCAGAGTCCATTGCGAGGCATTAATAACTTGCTGTGATATTAGCAGTTTTTCATCTTACACTGGCATCATTTTGTCACATTAGTTTAATATTGCCACCATGTAGCTTAGTATTAACGTGATACAAAAGTAAAATTACATGTGCACTTTTCATATTGTTATATTGAAATCTAGTACGTATGTGACACTAATACTATTCAAATTCCGTAAAATATACAGCTTCTAATACAAAGACATTTTAATGTTATGTTAGAATAAGAATGCAGATCATTACACTTCCAGAACCATGCGGCAGAGGAGGAGGAACTGAAGGGCTTGCCATTTGAGAGCCCTGGGGAAAACACTCAGGATAGTTCCTACGCATGACCACCCCAACCTTGCCGGCCCCGGCAATCCGGGCAGTGCTCATCGCAGTTTGAACAGAGTCAGAAAACTTTCTCTCTAAGAGGTCAGTTCATAAATATTTTAGCTCCATGGACCCTAGGTGGCAACCCCTCAGGTCTGCTTTGGTGGTGCAAAAGCAACCCCAGGCAATACGGAAATGAATCAGTGTGGCTGTGTTTTGATAAAACTTTCTTTACAGATGTTGAAATTTGAGTTTCATGTATTTTTCACGTCATGAAATAATATACTTCTTTTGATTTTCTTTTCAACCATTTAAAAATGCAAAAACTACTTTTAGCTTGGGGGCCATATGAAAGCACGTGGAGGGTCGGATTTGGCATTCAGGCCACAGTTTGCTGACCCCTGTGTTGGAAGGTCATGAATCTGCACGGGCACCAATGTGAGATTTCCTGATGAGAACCAGTGGATTCGAGCTCTCTTGCAGAGCTTATATATGCTAACATGTACATTCTCAAACTGACTTTGAGGGGGAGTAGACATTTTTTCCTTTCCAGATTTTCCATTTCCCCTCCTCCCCACACAGAGAGCGGGCTTTGGCTGACTCCCACAGTGGCACGTGCTCTGAATGCCTGGCCACAGCATTGAAGGAGGCATTACCTTGTTTATCAAAAATAAAAGGACTTAATTCTTTAGTTTAGGCCAAGCCTTCGGATGTCCTTCCCTTTCTATTTAGTAACAAAATATTTCCCAAGCAGAAGGCCAAAATTATGCTAGCAAATGCAATACGTTATTTTTGAGCTACCACATATATAATTTCAAAAATTGTACTTACTTTTAGTTAGATGTCATGTCAGGTAGCAGGCTTCAAATCAAATTCAAGACCATTTGAATCCATTTTGAAGGAACATTGTAAAATTTATCTTACCCGTGCCCTATCAGGGAACTAAACAACTCCCCTCACCTTCTTGTTTTTTGACTTACATCCAAAAGAGAAGGGCAGAGATAATCCCAATAGATCTTTGAATCACCAGAAGGACTAGGTAAGACTCAGACACACGTTAGAAGGAAACGTGGACTTCGACTACCTGGAGCATTTCACTAATGGAGAAAGAAGGACACTGGGGCTCATGGGTGGTGAAGGGTGAGGAACCATGTAGGAGCGTGAGGGGACAAGGGAGGGAGCAAAAAGTCTCTTTTCTTCATGTTGCTACCTCCAGTCCAGCCATCACAGACCTGGCCCTCTAGCCTTCCTGTGATGAGGCAGAGGCAGAAGAGGTGCCAGGGGTACTGCTATGTGACGGGCGCTGCGGCAACAGTGGAAGCTTATCACAAAAGGAACATGATTAGAGACTGATGTTCCGCTTCCAGAGGTGGATCTAGAATCATGTTCTTTTGTCACTTAAGCCTTGACCCAGAGACAAGGATTCATTGCCATCACATCTGCCCTGCACATGCAGTAGGAAGAAAGAGTAAGATCCCTATCAAAAGAGGGGAGTTAAGGTTTAGAGCTTCTGATTGTTTCTGAGGAGGGTGGATGGAATGCTTCTAACATCCTGTAGGGCTCCAGGACACTGAATCCTTCCCATCCCTTCTGGGAGAAGGATCTATTTCTGGTAATGTGTTTTGGTAGGTGCAACAGTAGACTTGGTGCCATATCTGGTTGGCCCAGGCTGTCCTGGAGAGATGGGCATTGGGGTCATTCTCTATGAAGCCAGTTGGGTGTGGTCCTGACTCTTGTTGAGGGTGGCTAAGCTTGAGAGGGGAGATTGCCTAGTTACAAAGAATACATTCATCCTTTGAAAACATACATCTAAATGAATAGGCTCACCATAGAACCCTGCTTGCCTGGGATGATCCTGGACATTTATATTCTGACATTATTAATAGTGCCCCTTCCTTTTAACTATCAGATTGGATAATAAACTGTATCGCCACCCTAACTAAAAGTTACTACATTCCAAGTCTAGCTTTCTGTGTCCTTATCTTATATTGAAAGCTTATAATCCTCAGCTAGTTTAAGGTACAGTCTATTTGAAAGGGCATTTGCTAGCCAGCTGGCCAATGTGAGGAGGGCCATACTATTTGAGGAACAAAGTGGGGAGGAGCAGAAGGAAAGGTATATTCAACTCTGTTGCTGTAGGGGGACAGGAAAGGCTTCACAAAGAAAATATTTTGAGCAAAAGGGGAAGAGTGTTGCAGGAAGAGGGAACAGTGGAGCAGAGCAAAGGATCAGGAGCGAGGAATAGCATTGAAACCTTTGGGGAATTGTAAGGCCATGAGAATGACTGAAGTGCAGGGAGCAAGCTGGGTGGAGGAGCTGTAAGAAAAGAGACTGACTGGAGGGAGAGGTGGTTTCTGGATCACACAGGGCTGGGGAGTTTCAACTTTATCTTATAGGTTACTGGAACTCCTACTTGGCTGACCATCTGAAAACTTGGAAAGAGTTTTAAATGTAGATTTATTCCAAGACAAAAAAGCACAAAAATTTTTTATGTAATTAAGGAAATGTAAATATGGACTAAGTATTGATTACATTAAAGAACCATCACTACATTCGTAGTTTTGCAAAAAAAAAAAAAAAAAAATTAAAAAGTCCTTAATTTTTCTTTCTTGAGATGTATAACTAACCACATAGGGATCAGACTATATAATGTCTGGGATTGGCCTTGAAATACTCCAGCAGAAGAAAAAAGGAGGGGAGAGTGGGAATCCTGAAGAAACAATGGGGATGGGTATAGGGAAATGTTGATGGCTGTTGAAGATGGGGGACAGGGATGGGCATAAGGGAACTGATTTCTTGTATTTTCCACCTTTGAGAATGTTTAGAAATTTTCATAACAAGAAGTTAAAAAAGTGAAATGCGTATTCCCTGGGTCTCACCCCAGATCTACTGAATCACGATCTCTGGGTAATACGATCAGCTGTAAATGTTGGATTGAAGGATGGTGGGAGACGGGCGGGAGGCATGTGGACCATCTGGAAAGCCCAAGCAATTGTGCAGGAGAGAGACAATGAAGGGTTGAATCTCAGCAGTGGAGGTGGGGAGAGGAGGAGGGACGTGAGACATACGTTGTAGTTCACTAGACAGGACCCAGTGTCTAATTAGATGGAGAAGGTGAAGTTTAAGGTGACTCTTGGGAGACTGAATGAATGGGAAATATGTAAGGAGCAGATACGAATAAGGAAAACTAGAGGATTCAGAGTTTTGGTTATTCCAAGTATTAAAAATATTTGAGTCTCCTCTGTTAATAGCATTTCAATATTTTTGCCACTTTTCTTATTACTTAAGATCACCTCAAGACTTGAATTCTATGCAAATAATACAGTTTCTCTGCTCTATTTTCCAGAAATACGTCTTTATTCAGAGATTCCAGCAGGGCTGCCTTTGAGTTACTCTGACCTGGTTCACTACTGACAAAGGCACATGCCCTTGACCTTCCAGCATCTCCAGGTCTTTTGTGTTTTTCCTCTCTGCCTTTCTCCACTATCTTATGGTGTCTTCTCCTTAGCAAATAAGAAACAGGCCAAGTTTTTTTGGCACACAAAGTACAGTGTCCTCTCTTCCCTTTAATCCTCCCAAGAGTGTGAAGTAGTGTGTAAACACACCCAGAGGAACCGAGACCCCAAGATCAGCCGCATCTGTGCTCTCAGCATTTTTGTCTTTTTTCCAGTCATTTCTTTTTTTTCAGTCATAAGAACCTGAGCCTGAGACATGACATCTTTTAGGAAATCCAGTTAAACCCCAAGCTTTCAAACAACTAGGTTTAGATTTGCCCAAGGGACATGAGGAAGTGGCCTGCCAGCTCCTTCTGTATTGGGAACTCTCTGGAGACCTGGCTCTTTCCTGTAATCTCCACGGGCTCTTTGCAGAAAGCCATATTTCTTCCAAGTCTTTCTTTTCATCCCTGTCTGAACCTGCCTTCATCTTCCTAATGGCTAATTAAAAAATTACAACCAAGAGCATTAAATAGTAAACCCCTTCCCTGCTGTTCTCGCTTTAATTTCTGAGGGCCCAAGCAAGATGCCTTTAAAAGAATTAGATAAGGCCACCTTTCTGCTTGCAAACAGCATGATAAACAGCATTCCAGTCGGGAGACGCCTTCATTCTGATGGGTAGTCCTTCAAGGCAGGGTATGCATGGGCGTTATTCGCATCTTATTCCAGGAAGATAAAGTTTAGGAGCGGCACAGTCTCTCCAACATTATGACTTTTCACTTGCGCCTGATACAGAATTTTGGGTGTGTGTGTGTGTGCGTGTGTGTGTTTGTGTGCGCATGTGCATGTGCAAGTGTTTCCTCCTCCCTTGGTGCCTGTGTTTTCCATTCCACACTGAAGCAACTATGAGTTTTAAAACTCACAATTATTTCTCTTTCATTTAAGTTAGGAGTCTGAGCTTGATGGAAACCCATCCCAATTCATGATGTGCTCACTTAAGCTGCTGCTTGATCCCATTTGCAAAAAGACATCTTGGAAGCGGTGTCTAAATAATAATCAACATAGTGCTCTCCTTGCATTTGTTTATACATTATCTTAACACTTTATGACGTATTTTAATAGAACAAGAGTTTAGAAGCCGGAATCAGACATCGCCGGCTCGGTCTGCTTTAGATTGTTCTTCATCAATTGTTTTTTCTCGTGATTATACAGTTTTACTTTATCATCCCTTTGATAACAATTTCTGCATGAAAATTGACTTTATATTTCATTTTTCCCGTCTGTTATCTTAGCGGCATTCATACGCAAACACCCTTTGTGGGGCACTGGTAATATAACTGATCAGGCGAAGCTGTGCCATAAGAAATCAAAACCATAATAATGTCTTTGGGTTTTGCATTTTAAATACTGCGTTCATTGTTGAACTGAGGTTTCTGATCCCTTTCCAGACATTACAGAGATTACCTTTGGTAATGCCTATTTCATTGTACTTTGATATAAAATAATGTGTGTCATAAATCATCCGAGTGACTGTCATTAAACAGAAAAGCACCTACTTAGAATACGTAACAATTTGCTTTTCTAATTTGAAGAAGATTGAGGCATTTTAATTATAAAAGGTCTTTGTAAATGAGACTAGAATTCAATATAAAATTGTAATTCTTTATGGAATTGTAGATTAGAAATAATAAAATCCTTATTGATTAATTTTACATTATTTTTTGCAAGTGCTAAATAAAAACACTCAGAAGTGTTTGTGAAATACAGCCCTAGACTTTTGTCACCCTTAATCTGAGAAAAACTTGTGTTTATTCATTTCAGAAAAAGGCACAAGAGAATCAGTTGTTATTGCGGGTTAATTTGCAATTGTAAATTTGAGAAATTTTTCAATTAAAGCTGGGAACGTCATGTCTAAAAAGTTGAGAAAAGACGAAGGGGTATAAAGCCACCAGGGGCGGGGGAGAGCTATTTAAAACTATCGGTGTGCTTCAGAGTCTCAAGATTGTTTCCATTTAGAAGAGGATGAAGGTTTGGAGCCTTCTCAGCAAAGAACAATTCAAAATTATTGGAGCCCTCCTCTTTAAAGGTGATCAGGCTTCTGCACACGGACACCAAAGCGAATTGAAAATTATGAGAGCTCTTCACATTGTTTCAAACATTGATTTTTTATAAAATGGATTTCCACATTTTATTTCTTCAGTGACTGGGTAATTACAGCGGCCTAGAAACTGAGGTACTTCATTCTGAAACTAGTATTTTCTCTTTGGCTCTTCCCCTTTTCTTTCTTTCTGCCTTTTTCTCCCCCCTTAATAAGTTTTCTGGTTTCCCTTGCTGCTGGGATAGACACATCATTCTTTGTTCTTGCTCGTAAATCACTGTGTGACCAAGGAACCAGGAAGTTATTAGAGGTGAGGGGAAGGTCAGGTCGAAAATTCAGATTGATCTAACCTATTCTCACAAAATAGTACTTTGCCTACCTCAAACCCAAAGCGAAGCACCAACGCAAGGCTGCTCCACCATGACTCAGTCATGCTTCATGAGGGAAGAGACGTCCGCAGCGTTAACAGGGAGCGTTACAAAGAGTCACAGGAACCATGAAGTTGTCATCAGTATGCATTTAGTTACGATGACGTTTGCCCATGCACATCATTTCGAGTGCATTTTTTTCCTCCTTCTCTCTTGTCTTCTCTTCCCCTCTTCCTTTTCTCTCATTAAATGGGCAGATAGAAATGAAATTCTAAAGATTCACTGCAGAGGCTGACCAAATTGGAAAGTGGTCCTTTAGTTGGGAATTCTGGAGGTTTCTCTCCTTGTGTTAGAAATTGGTCTTGTGTATACACACCGACGTACACACACACACACAGTCTTGTACAGACTATTGAGGGATGTGATGGGAGACAATTAATTCAAGGACTCTAGTTTGGATAACAAATACGACTTTTTCCCAGTTTTTCCCTCCGTTCCAAAGGGAAAGTTCCCTTCCCCTTGCTCAGTCCTCCTCCCTGTCGGTTCAGCTATTTGGTAAAGGGCAGAAGCAGTGTTCCACGTGTTTTGTAAAAAGCTGTAGCAAAGTGAATTGAATATAGTATTAAGTTTTTGTCAGCCTGAACTCACACCTGCCACACGCAAGGTTTTTTGGCCTTTCGTACAAATCATAACTTGAGTCTAAATCTAAAGGAACAGGGAAAGCAATAGAGCAAAGCTATCCAGATATCCAGATGTTGCTCAGTCTGTGTGATTGTAAATTTCAAAGTACCAGCTTTCCATCCCACTTATAGTGCATTGGGAACTACATGAAAATTCCAAGACATACTGGTTTATTGAAATGTCTGGCCATTTCTATATGAATTGTGGAACTGATGTACTGAGGTAGGCAATATAATTGTGATAATAAGGAACATTTCCACATCAACTCACTGAACTACTAACCTATAATGAGGAGTATAACTCAGCAATGGAGGAGGGTGATTTTCATTATTTTTTTTTTTTAACTCAGTGTCAATTATTCAAATTCTTCCTTGACTATAGTTTTGGACAAGTTTTCAAGGGCTTTGAGGCTGATATATATATATATATATAAGAACAGGTTATAGGTTTTTGAATTTGTCTTTACAAGAGATTGTTATCATTTTATCATTATATGTAAGACCCAAGAAGCCCAAATCAGGTGCTTAGAGTCTCTTTGGATTTTGAAGTTTAGGTCTGATTCTCAGGATCTTTGCTGGGAGTAGAGTATCACACCCCCAAAGCTGGGGGCTTGGTTTGGGCATGCCTCTGGTGTGACCATTGACTTTACAACTCACACCTCTGGATGGAGAAGAAGGTGCACCATCTTGATTGATTGTTCTTTCTGCCTTCTCATTCTTAGTTACTTCCCAGCTCCTTGACTCCTCCATTTGAAGATGAACAGAACATTCTAGGATGCAGTCCCAGGAATGAGAATCCTGGGGTTGATGCTAAATCATTTGTATCCCTTTAAAGATTTGCAAAGTGGTGCAACTAAGGTATTGGAAGTAATGGAGCTCCCCTGAATTCCTGACCATTTCTCCCACCAAGACTGACTGTTGATCAAACAGCTCTGACAATGGAAGGAAAGATTAAACAATTAAACAAAATGAAAACTTAAACGTGACTTATTTGATAGTGTGTGACTTTATAAAAACTCTTTCTTAGCCCTTCCTATACGAAACTGTGGTAATTGGAAATTAGATTTTTTTAAATGATTATTTTGACTCTCTGATGCGACTAGGAAGATGACAGGAGACTTTGGAAGTAAAGGAAGCATTCTATGGGAAAAGGAAGGAAGGGGAGGCAGGTCCATAAAAGACACAGGCTGTCCACATGTAAACGAATGAAAATTGACCATTCCTTTTCACCATTCACAAAAATAAACTAAAAATGGATCAAAGACTTAAAGGTAAGACCCGAAACCATAAGGCTTCTAGAAGAAAATGTAGGCAGTACACTCTTTGACATCAGTATTAAGAGGATCTTTTTGGACACTACGTCTTCTCAGACAAGGGAAACAATAGAAAGAATAAACAAATGGGACTTCATCAGACTAAAGATCTTCTTCAAGGCAAGGGAAAACAGGATTGAAACAAAAAAACAGCCCAATTGGGAAAAAATATTTGCGAGTCACATATCTGACAAAGGGTTAATCTCCATAATAAATAAAGAAGTCACACAACTCAACAACAAAAAATCAAACAAACCAATCAAAAAATGGGCAGGAGACATGAACAGACATTTCTCCAAAGAAGATATACAGATGGCCAATAGGCACATGAAAAGATGCTCATCATCATCACTAATCATTAGGGAAATGCAAATCCAAACTACACTAAGATATCACCTTACACCTGTTAGAATGGCAAAAATAACCAAAACAAAAAGTAACAAATGTGGGAGAGGTTGTGGAGAAAAAGGAACCCTCATACACTGCTGGTGAGAATGGAAACTGGTGCAGCCACTATGGAAAACAGTATGGAGATTTCTCAAAAAATTAAAAATAGAAATACCATATGACCCAGCCATCCCACTACTGGGTATCTATCCAAAGAACTTGAAATCAGCAATACCAAAAGTCCCAGGCACCCCTATGTTCATCGCAGCATTATTTACAATAGCCAAGACATGGAAGCAACCTAAATCCCCATCAGCTGATGATTGGATAAAGAAGATATGGTATATATACACAATAGAATACTACTCAGCCATAAAAAAGGATAAATGGTCTCATTCACAACAACATGGATGAACCTTGAGGGAATTATGTTAAGTGAAATAAGCCAGATAGAGAAAGACGAACTCTGTATGACTCCATTCACATGTGGAAGTTAAACATGTAGACAAAGAGAACAGATTAGTGGCTACCAGGGGAAAGGGGGTAGGGGGTGGGCACAAAGTGTGAAGTGGTGCACCTACAACACGACTGACAGACAATAATGTACAACTGAAATTTCACAAGGTTGTCAACTATCATAATGTCAATAAAAAGTTAAAAATAAAATAAGAGACTTCCTTCTGTCAAAATAAAAAAAAAAGACACAGGCTGTTACTACACGGGAGCCACCTGAAAGACAGGGCTGTGGGGCAGCTGACAAACAAGCCAGTCATGGAACGTGTTTAAAGCGTTGTTATGGAGGCATCATTCTCCTTAAGCTCTTATTTTGGGTCACATTTGGAAAATATTAAAGCTATTAAGGTCTCATTTGCTTTTCTCTGGAATTTTAGAAATTGTTTTCCCTGGCATTACTCAGTTTCCCCAAAGCAGGTTTTCTTTATTTCATTTTTTTTTTTTTTTTTACTATAACATAGTCCTCACTGGTCACTTCTATCTTTTCCTGTTATTTACTTTGAAAGAGTCCTGCAGCCCCAGGAAAACAAAGGATGACAAACAGTGGGAGGAGGCGGTAGATACAAGAAGAAGAAAATGTTAGCGACCTCTAGTTACTGAGAAAATCAGCTCCGTTTCCTCCGAGCAGGGCCTCTTAGAGGCCGAGAGAGAGGCCCAGGACGCTGCCTTTCTTGCTGTTTTTTTGTTTGTTTTTCTTTGGAGACCCTTGTTACAGCAAAAAGCAAGCACGGTCAAATATGGATTGAAAACTGCGGCGTACTTCAAATATTTACATTTAATAAATTTGTAATTGTGAAACACAGAAGTACAATGACCAGATGTTTATCAAAGTCAAAATTTGAGGCTTTCATGAATGTGAGCCCTGGGACAATGGCCCATTCCCAACAACCTTCTCACTGCCCAGCTCCAAGCGGGATCCGTGCCGATCTCTGAATACGTTACCTGCATATTGTGGACCAGCTACCTCACTTAGGGCCTGGCAGTAGCAGAGCTCAAAAAAATATGAGTGTCCTTCTCCTCCTTTCTGCCATTATTCCACTTTATGTAGACCCGAACCCGGCAGATGGTCTTAAGGCAGTGTTTGCCAATGATGAATAAACTTAAGTGAAATTCTTCTTGCCTTGCAAACGCTGGTCAGGGTGAAGGGAAGACGCGGTCCAGCGAGGAAACCTGGGTCACGTGCAGCCCTGATGGTCAAATGCTCACAAGGAAGGAAAAAAGCCTGTAGTTTTGAGGTGCCCGAGGAACTGCAGGCTTTATTCTGCCATCCTATTTTCTTCTGCTGTCTTCATGGGATATTTCTGTCTGGGAATCAGAAGCAGCATTGATGTACTTTATTTTGTCAGCTTTGTTCTTTTTTTTAATTTAGTTTTTATTATGGGGAATTTCAAACATACACAAAAATAGAGAGAATAATATGAGGAAGGAACCCCGTGTGCCCATCACCAGTCTTCAATGATGATCAGTTTAAAATACACATCTGGGGAAATGGCTGGAGGAAGTGGAGGCAGGGGCTTTTGCTCCATGACAGTCTTTGGTTTCCACCTGTGCATTCATGCAACTAAACCTCACACACCTGCATCCACAGAAGGTCTCATAATTGCTTTTGAATCAGAACACGGTATCATTGCCATGGAAAAGAGGATTCAAAGCCAACGAGGCTAGAATGACTTACTCTTAAATTGATGTTTTCTTCATCCTTAATTTAAGGCTTGTAGGCAGCTTAAAGATGTTTATTAACAACTAAGGGCAAAGAGAGGGAAAAACCACTGACCAAAAACCGAATCGTTTTCTGCTTAGCTGCTTGCTTTGAGAGAGGCCAGACTCCGTGTGCGTGTGTGTGTGTGTGTGTGTGTGTGTATAAAAATGGGAAGAAACACCAAGTCAGAGAAATAGAAACGCCTCAAGAAAAGCAAAATTACAGCCTTCATAATCCCTAGACCGGCTCTTGCAGAGCACACCTGGCTTCTGGAAAGGAGGTTTTTCTTACTATCAATGATAATGCCAAGTCTAGGGTACAACAAAGAATATTTCACGGGGTCATTGATGTATCCCCTCGTGTAAAGGGAAGTCATACAGCTCTGTATGCAGGTTTTCCTTTGATATTATCATCACATGATGATATGGTTTCCAGTTAAAAACTGGTGCCAAAGATGCAGCAGAACTGACTTGGCAAGGAGAGCGTTTATTTATATGATGTTAGTAAGTGCCAGGCTTTACTAAGTAGAAGGACAGGGTTGCAGGCAGCTTTGGTGGTAACTGGGAATTAATTGTGATACCCACTTCAGGGCTTCACCACCTGTAACTGAAGGATCTAGCTTGGGGGAAATTACTTAATCTCTGCGTATTTCAGTTTACCCACCTGTGAGAGCCTAAAGACAATGCCTGCTTTTGAGGTGGATGGGTGCCAAGAATGTTGAAAGGAAAAGCTGATGAGTGGTGGTGAATGCACAGTGCTTTGGGATCCTCAAAAAAAAGAGATACCCTATTTAGTCCATATGATGGCGTTTGTCACTGAAGGCTCCAGAAGCCAGGCTGGCTTCAACAGGTGTGTGACCTGAGCAGGCAAAAGGGCCCCACACTTGTTTAATGCACTGTTGTCGCCATCTTGAAATTCTTGATTTTTGAACAAGGAAGACTTCTGAGTCCCAAATTGCACATCAGGAAAGCTAAGATTTTAAAATCCTCTGAGAGGAAAACTTGAGGTCAACAGGACCTCACAGAAGTTCTTTAAGAAATACCTACCCTGAGAAAATTAAAGCGGATCTCCTACAGACTGTCATTTCTCGCTGTCACACTGACATTTCAAGGGTTCATCTTTTTCCTTCTGTTGCATCATTTCTCTGTCAAGCATTATTCAAGTTCAATGATTTTTATAGTCTTTGAAAACACTCCATTCTATAACATTGGTTAGGTTTTGTTGGTTAGAGTTTGAAAAAACCTTGTTCTCAATAACAGCAAATTTTTCTTAATTTGTGGTTTCTCCTAAAATTTGGGTTTTTACTCATTTGACTTTTGGGAGAACAGCATTGTCTGTCTCTTTGTTCATGTTTGTCTGCTAAGAGCTTATAGGCCTAGGGGTCATAAACACTTTGGATTATGTGGAGGCACATGAAACTGTCTTTAGTCATTTCTGAAAAACGGCCAAGGAAGGAATACCATCTATCTTTAAGAAAGTTTTTAACAACACCTGTACATCTCAGTATTCTGAGGGGAAGAGATTTCACCCTCAGGAAAACAGCTGGAGAGGAGCCTGAGGCCTGGTTTAGCAGCGCCCCCGGTGGGAACAGCACTTGGTGGGCAATGGGAGGTTGGGAGGTGTGAGGGGCGGGGGTGGGGGGGGGCGGGGAGGCCGGCAGGGCCAGAGTGGAGGTCTTCTATGGAATCTGCTTATGAAGGCTGTAAGGATGTTGTCGCCTCTCTTTAGCACTTGAGCCTCTCTGCCACGTTTCCCTGGGCTACAAAATGCCTGGATTTGTACTTTGCCGGAGGGTTTTGATTTACTTCTTGTGTAGGAAGCAGGACCTCAAATATCAAAACACCTGGTGTCCTACCAGGAGAATAGACACAGAGTGGGGTTTCCTTCCACCCACAAATTGTATAGCACTTGATGTATGTTCCAATTGGAAGAGGTAAAAAACGATTCTCCCTTTTGTTCCTGCTCCAGTTTAGCACAAATTGAAAGAGAGATACAGAAGTCAGACAGACGGAAATCAAAGTATGAGCTTTGAGAACGAGGCTTAGGTCCGGGCGCACCTGGGCTTGCTAACGTT